CGTGGTGAGGCCGGAGTCTGATCCAGGCAGCGTGGCTCCAGAGCCCATGCTCTGACTGCTGGGACGGCCGGTGGAGGCCTTGGCTCTGCTGGACGGCGCCTCCCCTCATCTGTTCATTGGGGTCGGAGCTTCTGCCCCAGCTGCATGGGTGCTGGGCCCGTGCTGGGCTCTGCTGACCCCAGACTCACCTCTGTTTCAGCTTCATGACATCCTCGATGTTGGGAAGGGATTTTGTCCATGGCAGGTTTCCGTAGAGCCACTTCAGCAAACAGTAACCCAGGGCCTGGAGGTCGCTGCGGCGGGAGGGCCCTGGGCAGGGAGGGAAAGGGGAGGCAGCTCAGGCTGGATGCTCCCCTTTCCTTTCTCCCTCTCACTGACTCAACCATGTATTCACACACCCAACCACCCAAACATAGGGGCTGTCTGTTCACCCACTCTTCCTTCTTCCACTCACGTTATTGAGCCTCTGTTACTCTCACTCACGCTCTCACCATCCCTTCATCCCGCACTCATGAGCTCACTCCCCATCTACTCTCTTTTGTTCATGCACCCATGCATTCAATGAGCCCGCAGAGCCCCGTGCGCCAGGCCCCATCCAATTTCTCAAATTCAAGATGAGAGTTTGGTTGGGTCCCATCCTTTAGTCTAGTGGGCAATGGCTATATCGTGGGATGACCTGAGCTACAGAAGACACAACAGGGCATGAGGGAGCCCAGGAGGGTGGACACTGAACACCACCTCAGTGGGGGAGGGAAGACCATTGGGTTTTATTTTTCTTACACAGCCTAATGTCACGATTTAGACAATTCGTGTAAGCACTCCACGCACACAGAGCTGACTGTGCCAGGCCTTCCTGGGTGAGCTCAGAGCCCCGTCTGGGGGAGGACGCAGGCCGGCCCACCGATGGCCATGGTATCACGGAATCCGGGAAAGAGGTGCTGAGACCTCCTCCCGGAATCTGCCCTGGGCTCTCTGCTCACTCTGAACACTTCCCGTGGGTAACCTCATTCCTCTCCCAGGGCTCCCGCTGACAACTCCTGAGATCCTGTCGCCATCTGAGTCTCTGTCCACAGTTCGGTCCTGCGTTTCCGAGACAGAGAGCCAACTGCTTGCTCAGCAGCTCTCCTGGAGGACTCTGGGGCAACTCTCGTGTTCCAAGTCCACACCAGATCCTGAATGGACACCTCACGACCTGCCAGGCTTCCTCGTGCCCAGAAGCCCTCTGTCCTTGGTGCTGAACCACTACCCATAACCTCCTAATGCTTGGGGGACACCATTCTTCTTCTCTTTTTAATCTTTATTGTTGAAAGTGTTACAGATGTCCCCTCCCGCCCACTGACCCCACCCATTCTTCATTCTGAATCCCTGTCATGGCTCCCGTAGGTGACCCCAGTGTCTGCTCATCTGCTGTCTGTGGCTGTGAAAACCTAGAACTGCTCTCGTATGAAAAACACGTCTCCACAGCCCTAAACCCTTTCTCTGGCCGCTTACCGCATCCCTTGTGCAGGTCCATGCTAATGAACTCCAGGTCCCCCTCATGTGGGCTCCGGCTGCCTTCCTTGTAGGCCACGTGCTCGCCGCCTGGGGAGTAGCGGAAGGCAAAGGCATAGCCTGCCAGGGTCACCTGTGTGGGCGAGGGGAGAAGCCATACAGTTTGGAGGTTGGGAGCGCGGACTCTGGAATTAGACATTTCAATCGTGGGTGTAATCGGAAACCACCACATGCCCGACAAAGGAGTGTGAAGCGAAAAGAACCCAAACCAACTATTCCTGTTGCAACATAGCCCCCTAAACCCACTGCCCAGAGTAACCACTAATCAGTTTCTTGTTTCAAATCATTTTTTTGTTTTGTTTGCTTTTTGTTAATCCTCACCTGAGGATATTTTTTTCCATTGATTTTTAGAGAGAGAATGGAAGGGAAGGGCGGAGAGAGAGAGAGAGAGAGAAACATCGATGTGAGAGAAACATATCAATTGGTTGCCCCCTGCAAGTGCCCTGACTGGGGCTGGGCATGGAACCTGCAAGCCAGGTATGTGCCCTTGACTGGGAATGGAACCTGTGAACCTTTGGTGTGTGCCCCAATGCTCCAACCACTGAGCAACACTGGCCAAGGCTCAGACAGTTTTCATCAAGTAACTGGTAAACACATGTGGACGGGGCAGGGCCCTGGCTTTCCGCAGGGGGATGACGCTATGCCTCTTGTTGGGTATCCAGCTTTTCGCACGTTCACAGTGGTTCAGGGCATGACCCCTGGGGCCAGACAGATAATCCAGATGCCAGCTTGGCCCTCGGTGGCTGCAGGGCCTGGGAAAGTTACGTAACTTCCTGTGCTTTGATGTCTCCATTTGTAAAATGAAGACAACGACAGTCTCTGGCTTGCAGGGTTGTCACGGGCTTCACCGAGTTGAAAACAAAACGTGAAGTGCTGATCAGCCAGCACACAGCCAGCCCATCTGCGTTTAACGGCTCACTGTATTCTGCCCTTTGGACAGCGGACAACTGCTGGTCTGGCGACAAGAGAGAGAGAGCTACGTTCTTTTCTTCTGGTCACAGTTGGTGATATTTAATTTTAAGTGTCAACCTCCCTGGGCCACAGGGAGCTCAGATAGTTGCCCAACATTATAATGAGTGTGTCTGTGTCTGGATAAGATTAACGTTTAAATCACAGTCTAGGTAAAGCAGACTGCTCTCCCCAACGTGGGTGGGCCTCACCCCACTCAGTTGAAGGCCTGAACAGAACAGAAAGGCCGAGTGAGGGAACTCTTCCTGCGTAACTGCGAGAGCTGGAGCACTGGTCTTCTCCGGCCTTGGACTTGAGGGAAACACGGACTCTTCTTGGGACTGAGCCTGCCAGCCTTTCCGACAGGAACTCGCACAGTCGACTCTCCTGGCTTCCAGGCCTTGGGCTGGGACGAGAACGACACCACCAGCGCCTCCTGGGCTTCAGCCCGCCAACTGCAGACGGTGAGATTCTCGTCTCCATAACGGCGTGAGCCAACTCCTTGTAGCGAGTCTCTTTCCGTGCATTCTGTTGGTTCCGTTTCTCTGGAGAGCGCTAATACAGTTCTGGGATTTTCCTCTGGGATCATCTCTCTCCCACCCTCAGTAACTGGAGTGAGGCCCACCTCACCTATTTCCACTGGGTTGCCAAGCTGAGGGGATTTCAGCCTGATTTGCTGGTGGTGATTTTGTCATCATGAGGGAAGAATCTGCCTGACAATGACCAATGCACAAACAAGAAGAACCCAGAGATAGCAAAGCCAGTTTCCCAAGGACAGGGCGTGCGTGCCTAGATGCAGCCATGCCTGAAACCAGTGAAGTCCTCAATTTTTCCTTTCCCTGGACCAATATATTGCACCTCTCCCTTTTTAAAAAAATAATTTTTAATTGATTTCAGAGAGGAAGGGAGAGGGAGAGAGAGAGATAGAAACATCAGTGATGAGAGAGAATCATTGAATGGCTGCCTCCTGCATGCCCCCAACCAGGGGCCCCCAACCAGGGATGGAACCTGCAACCCGGGAATGTGCCCTTGACCAGAATCGAACCTGGGATCCTTTAGTCCACAAGCCAATGCTCTATCCACTGAGCCAAACCAGCTAGGGCTCATCTCTTCTTATTTATTCAGGCGAGCTCTTTACATATGATGGATAGCAATTCTTTGTTTGCCATAAGCATTGTAAATAAATGGAAGTTTTGAGACAGATGAGACCCTGAGCCCACAGAGTCCCCAGGGTGGGGAGGGCCTGGCTATTACCTGGCTCGGGTTCTGTGGATTCACAAAGATGTTCTTAGCTGTCACATTTCCATGAACATACTCATTCTCATGGAGGAACTCCAGGGCATCCAGCTGGGGAAGAAGAGCAAAGTGATCTCCCTGAGCAGCACTACGAACACAACGAGGCTCTGACGCAAGCCCGGGGCATGAATCCCCTCTGTGAGACCCGCGGTGCTCCGGCCTGCTTGTGCCGGGGGTTGTGGGCAGGTGTAAGCTGACTGATTCTGGGGAAGCATTAGGAAGTCCACTGACAGCACACCTAAGCAGGTCTTCTAATTAGGCTAACATCTGGTTCTCTATGTATCTCTTGCATCTGTTTCTTAGTTGATTGCAAACTCAGGCGAGAGAAGATGGTTACTTATTGTTTCCTACAAACACACACACACACACACACACACACACCAAACCCAATGCCCATGTATATTAAAGAGTTCTTCTCATTTCTCCTAGAAAGCAGAAATACATTTAGTTAAGCAATTGCTATTTTTCTCTCTCACTCCAACGTCTCCGCTGAGCTCCAGGTTCACGGTGTTACTTACATCACGATGACATCCCACTCCCCGCTTGACTCCAAGGCTTAACTGTGCACCAAGTTCTGCTTGTCGTACAAACTCTCTATCCCCATAGCCTGGCCCCTCTCCTCAGGCCTCGTCCTGTCTCACGTGGCCTCCAGCACCCATCCAGTCCCTCCCCACAAGGCCCACAGGGTCCTTCTGCATCCAGAGCTGACCTTGCCCCTCCCTTGCTCCCACTCCCCCCATGGCTCCCCAGTGCCCTCAGGACAGAGTCCCAGCTCCTCAGCTTGGTAATTCAAAGCCCTGAGTGATCCGGTCACTGCCAACCTCTCCACACCAATCTCTTACCTTTCCCCCTCCGAACGTGACACTGCAGGCTGAGCACCAAGACCTCTGGAACTCAGCTAGTATGTTCCTCCCGTGCTACTTTCATCCCTCCCCCAATTTAAATTGGGTCCTCTTATTCGCCATCATAGCAGGGGGACATTTCTGTCCAGAGAACTTGTCACAATTTGTGCAACTGTTTAATACAATCCTCTCTGACGAGACCTAAAAAAACATGTCTGTGCTGCTCCCTGCTGTACTCCCAGCCCCTGGGACAGTGTCTGATACCCAGCAGAGACCTCATAAATATTTAAGGAAAGGGTGGATGAAGGAAGGAATGAATGAACCAATGCCGTATGCTCTCTCCCCCACACAAGCCTTTGCTCAAGCTGTCCCCTTGGCCTGGAATATCCTCACGCATCTCCACTCCCACTCCATGCAGGCCCCTGGCCATTTCCCACTCTTGGCTTAGAAAGGACCTCCATCCTGGAGCCCAAACGAACCCCTCACCTTGAGGCTGGGGCCCCCTGAACGCCCTGGTGCTGATGCTTATCCCTCTGGTCTAACGGCCTGGGGTTCCCCTGTCAGTCAGTGTGCCCGTCCTCAGTGTCCAGCAGAGGGCGGCCGGGCTAACGTGTCAGAGAACAGCCTGACCACCAGCAGCGGTGGCCACCCCGGGGTACGTACCAGCCGGCAGGCCACCTGGAACACGCACTGCGTGGGCATCGTGTGCTTCGGGTTGTCATCCAGCACCGACTGGAGGCTCCTCCCCAGCATGGGGAGCACCAAGAACCTGGAAGACACGACGTCCCAGGTGGAGAGATGACCGGGGAGTGAGCAGAACAAAGGACACAGGAAGGGTGCGGGGTGGCCATGAGGTCCTGGTCCCAGGCACGATTAAGGGTTCTGATTGATGGGGGATCCGCCAGGCTCAAAGCAGGAGAAAGGAAGGAAGCAACTAACTGGCCAATGGCTCCAGGGCCCCAGCCACGTCCCAGCACAGGACAGGGAGAGAAAGGAAGGGGCCAGTGGGCGGGCGGCAAGTTAGGCGACTCACCTGTACCTGTCCTGGTGAATGCCAAAACCAACACAGGTGGGGATGGCCAGTAAGGGGGTTGAGGACAGCTTCTTCCACTTGTTCACTATGGGAGGCAGGGACCTGAGAGGTTAGAGCCCTCTAGTCCCAGGCCCTTGGGGACAACAGTCCATTCTCAGACCAGAAGCAGCGTGTGCCTGTGCCCAGGCCAGGCCCTGAGTCTCCTGGTGGGAGACGCCACCTCTGTGGATGGGTAACAATGGGGGTGCTGACAGGGTGGGCCTGGTGACCCCTGAATGTCATCTATGTCTGCAGGTGACAAGGCGTAAACATGGGGGAAGGAATATACAAATCTGGAGTGAGTGGGAGGAATAAGAACGGGAGAACTTCTGAATTCACAGGAAAGGAACCTGGGCGATGGGAGATTATTTGAAGTCTCCGATACGGGTCAGGAAATGCCTAAACTGGTCATGGTGCCACTAGATGTTGGCCCATCTTCTAGGACCTCCTTTGGATGGTACAGAGGCAGCAGAGTGCTGATAACAGTTTGATGGCTGGCTGTCCAGGGGAAAAGAGCCCTGGTTTGTACTGTTGGCCAATTTCTATGGTGTAAATACTCCCACCACGGTCACAGAACGTGGAGATGGGAAGGGATTCCTAGCAGCACACAGTTATGTGCTGGTCTCACATCCAGGTACAAGGATATAAACAACCTCAAGGGTGTAGATTACAGAAATGCAGACAAATAATTGTGAAGTGATGAGTTTTGAGTATTTATTACCCTTCTTCTTAATTTAATTTATTGTATTGTTAGTTGATGTGATTAATTTTAAAAAGGGCTATGTTTAACAACTGGCTTGAACTAATTTTGAAATTTTAACACTCAGCTCTCAAGAGCTGGCATGAGCTGGCCTCCACCCATGTTGTCTGCCCTGTGAGGCCTGAGGACTGAGGGGTGACAGGGCCTTCCGTTTAAGCCCCACCCTCCCCACACCTTCAGGGAGAAGCCAGGTGTTCCAACCAAGCTGGTACCTCCAGGTCCGCCCCTTGCCCACTCCCTGCAGCGTACCTTGCGAAAGCTTGGCGGCCCGCAGGAAGAAGTTCTGCTCATTGAACAAGCGCCCGTCCTTGGCATCCTAGTAGGGCGCAGGGGAGGAGGCTGTCACCCTGGAACCTCTTAGACAAGGGGTCCCAGGTCACCACTGCTGGCCAAGTGTTACCCAAGGGTAATGGCAGCAACAACTCAGGTTCCCGGCAAGTCCCCAGGGTGCCACACGAGGACCTGAATCGGAGACTTCAGGTGACCGCCCATCGCCCAGGTTCCTTTCCTTTCTTTTATGATGGGACCTGCAAGTTTTCCCCAGACATGGCCTTCCGCTGGAGACTAGATTCCCGAGCCTCCGCTGAAGTGAGGAAGGACCACAGAGCAAGTTCTGGCCAACGGGGAGGTGAGCAAAAGCGATGTGGGCAGCTCCCGGGCTATGCCCTCAATGGGCTGGGCAGGCTCTCTCCTTCCTCTCTGTCCCTGTGGCTGGAATGCATACGGACAGCGGGAGCGGGAGCAGCCATTTCAGCCCACAGATGGAGGTTATGGGCTGAGGATGCTGGAGCAACAAGAGAGAAGGAAACTGGGCCCCTTGGTTATGGAACCGTCATATCAGCCCTGGACCACTGTCCCAGACTTCTAAGTGAAAGAGAATAAAATAGTACGTTTGCTAAGACCACTGTTAATACTGGGTCATTTTCCCCCAGCAGTAAAACCAAATATATTGTTTACATACAACACACACAAC